CAGACCTTATTCTTAACATGGAGTTTAGGCTTTGAATAACTCTAAAAACTTAGTACCTGGTAGGCAAAATTTCTAATTAATTATTAAACCTCTGAAGTACCAAAAGCAGTACTATATACAGTGTACATGTATGCACACTGGAATATTATACAAATAGTGAAAGGCCATGAGTGCAATGGTACAAGATTTCGCACGATGTGAAAGAAAAGAGACGCTATATTCAACGAGGCGCAGCCGAGTTGAATGGAGGGTCTCATTTTTCACCGAATGCAAAATCTTGTTTCATTGCACGAATAAAGACCATTCACTATTTGTATTATACAACACCTCAGATGTTAATGGGCTTCAAACAGTTTTCCTGGGCCTAAACTCAGCGATTTTTTGTTTGTTTTTCTATTGATGAAATTGCTGATAGTAAGCGCGCACATACCATGCGCCGCGCGTACCAAGCTTTTTTATTATTGTGACGCGGAGTGCAATTTTGTTTGATCCATTGGTACCATTGCTACGGCAACATTACTTACCGCACCATATACCTCACCATGTATATCGCTAGTGACAACAGCGTGCAATGGTGCGAAAGGATCAAACGGAATTGCACGGCTGGAAAATGATGCCGTTCAACAGTACTTATAGCGCATGTCATGTGATCAATAATTGACCAATGAGGTTGCAAGAATCTTAGTAGGCATTGTATAAACTATTTTTAATTAAAAAAAAAAAATCATCATTTTTGTGGAGAGGAAATTATATAGATTGCTCTGGCTTGGCAGAACCACAAGCTGAAATATTAGCTATATTAAGAATCACATAATAACCTCAATATTTACCATGTGCATTCATATCTACATCACAAATAATAATAATAGTCCATGACAAATTCAAAATTTGTAATTTAAATCACTGAAACGTATCACAATTGTTATTTTTGCGAAGGGCAAACAAATAAGTTATACTTCGTTGCCTCTTGGCCTGAGCTCAATTGCTCTTCATACACTGTATATCACCTCAATCTAGACATCTAGACCCAGTCTTAACTATTTCAGTCTATAAGGAAAACGATGATTTTATAAAGCAGATACAAACAAAACTTTTGGGAGTCAGCCTAATAAATCTAAATACAACCATATTGAATGAAAATATAGAAATATGTCACTGTATTTCTTTTGGAAATGACATGGACATTTCATTTCACTCACCTCTTTTTCCGTCACTACGTATCGATCTAGGTGCTATATGAAATCAGTAAACATGTATACTCTTTGCCTTTACAATGTACCCGGTAATGGTACACTCTTCATAAGTGGCACTATATACATGTATGTATTCAGTCTCTCTGTCTATTTCTAGTGACTGGAAATTCCCAGCAACCTTTGAGCGATAACCAGATTAAATTCGCCCAATGAAACCTCGATCTCGTTTTGTCAAGTGTCTGTCGAGCAAATATATGTCTGTGCCAAATTTTTAAATTTAAACTTTTCAAAATTCTCTTTCTGTTACCCCCCCCCCCCCCATTACAAAACATTATAAATTTAGAGTTCAAATTACTGTTGCTAAAGTCTTGTGGAACGGTCCTCCTTCGAGATTACAATTGGAATGTTGGAGATGGCGCTAAACATGCTAATCATATCCGGAAAGGAGAAAAGTAAAGAAGATATTAAATATTAGACATTTTCCTTTATTGCACTAACCATCATCTGGTTGAGAGAGCTAAGGCGTTGTTTGATTTGCAACAGTTTTGGGGTTATCAACGGACAATGTTGCCTTAATTTCATAGGCCTACATGACAGAGGGCTGAGGGAGCTGCAGCCCCCCCCCCCCCTCATTACCTATTCTGGCATGGGCAACCGCCACCTGATTGTGGCAGTTGATTAATATTCAAATAGTCTAGTATTCTGTTTATATGTTCTTATATAAAATATAAAAAAAACAACCCAATTCAATTCAATTCAATTCAATTCAATTCAGTTTATTAAATTCCAATAAAATATACAAAACAGATTACAATCATGACAGAATAAGAGTATAAATCGATCAAAAGTACTAAATAAGGTAAAATGATAAAACAATAAAGCGATACATCGGATAACAATACAAGATAGAGCATTATTGGAATTGGGTGGCCATACAAAACAATGAGGATTTGTCGAGACGACCACCCTTAATGAAGGTAAAATAAGTTTCATTGAACATTCAATATAACATAGAAAATTTAATAAATAAAGTACTGTAAAGGAATAAACAATTACGATGACATATTTTATTCAAAAAAATACATATTACCGCACAAACCCACCACAGGACAACACAAGGCAGTAAAACCATCATTTCAAAATTTCAAACACTTGTGATTAAGTACGATTTGAGTTTTCTTTCAAAGATATTCATGGAGTTAAGTGACTTTATTTCTAGTGGCAGATTATTCCAGATAACAGGAGCATGATGTCTAAAAGAGAATAGTGCGTAATTTTTATTAACAGTCCATAGATGATATTTTTTTCTGCTTCTTGTATTATGGTCATGTACAGCTGCATTAAAAGTGAGCATTGATGATTATGATTTATGGAGCTTATTCTGCTTATGTTTAAAAAGTAAGATTGCACAGTAGTAAGAAATAAGTTGAAACACAGTAAGAACATTAGATTTAACAAATAATTCTTTGGTATGGGTGTGTCTCCAAGAAAATGAACATATACAAAGAGCTCTTTTCTGTAATATATACAATGGTTGTAATTTCGTTGGATATGTGTTTTCAGTTGAAAGTAACAATTGTTTTCTTTTATTCTTTCATTATTTGTAATATCTACAAAAATGCATATTCTATAGAAAAAAGAAGAAGAAGGTGTATGTACATAATTGTAAAAGCCTGTTCAGTTTTGACACAATAAAGAAGGCATCAATCCTAAAAGGATATAGCCTTGTGTCGGGTACGTCCTATAGAATGATACACTATAAATATCAGAACAGCAGAGATTAATAGACGACAAAAGAGAAAATAAACTTAAGAGTAAGGAAGTTTGAAACGTACTGCAATAATTACATAATAGCTTGGGTATGACCGAGCTGTGTAAAAAGTACTACATTGTATATACAGTGCATCCCAGAAAAAACGAAACCGAGAATTATCAATGTTTTATTATAACTTAATCACAGTTGTAATTAATAAATGACACATATTTGGAAAGCTTAGATCATCCTCTTTCACTTGATACCACTCCTATGATGCATATTTCATGCATGAGTGATTAAAATGAATTTGAAGAGAGGAAACCAAAAAGTCGTTTGGCGGACGGTATCTGAATTTCAAAGAGAAAATCACATTTCTGGAAAGTTGAGTTTCTGCCCTTTTATATGACACCTCAGTCAGGAAAAATGAGCTAGGATGAACAAAGTTCTGTTTGGTAGTGCCTGCATTGCCATAATTTTATCAAACAAATTCGTTTTTACTGGCTGCCTGCCGTAGCAACAAACGGAATTAACAAAACATTAACTCCGCTTCGTTGACAATCAGTCGTAGACGAAAGATTTTGTGCAAAAACTAAGAATGAATGCAATTCTAACGTTTTTAAGCCCCTTATAGATCGGCACACCTAAATGCGATCACCTCTCCATTTGTTTTGTACATGTGTATGGAAAATGTCCAAACAGTTTTGATGATAGTGTATTTGTTGTACACACAGGAGCCCACATACATGTAAGAACATGTTAACAATTTTATATTTCGGCCACATACAAGTTTGACAAAGAAAATGGCAGGGTGATGTTTAATGAAATCTTTAGTACAAGGTGAACAAAGAGTAATGTAAAATCACAATTTTTCAGATATTTCTAAAATATTACAAATACCATTTGCTCTCAATGGAAACACAGACAAAACAAAATATCTTTAAAAAGTAAATAAATAAACCTGGGGGGCGTTTCACAAAGATCCTAAGTTGAACCTATCTCTAAGTTGGACTTTAAAATTATGGAAAGCCGTTAGCATCTATGAAAATATTTGGTTTTTTTTTTTTTAAAGGCATAAAATGTTGATTCAAATCATTTATATTTTCCATTATCAATGAGATTTCATGTTCTTGATGTGGAATTTATAAAAAGTCTAAAATACTTCAATTTTCACTTTTGAATATATTTTATTTTTAGGCTACAAATGGCTCTCCATAAAGTTTAAGTCCAACTTAGAGTTAAGTTTGAGACTTAGAGTTAAGTTCGACTCAATATCTTTGTGAAACACCCCCCAGGTATTTCCGACAAGTTCCATGCCACTTCTTCCATGTACTTTGCCAGACGGAAAGTGAACATGGAACACAAAAACAAAACATCACAGTCAATCATATTCAAACAATAACCTTTACTTTGTTACTTGCTTTTACAACACTTTTACAGCATATATCATACAATCAATAGGTCGACTTTAATAACTCTTTAACTCTTTAGTACACAACTAGAGAAGTTGTAAGAAGTAGAAATTATTATGAAAAATGGCACATCCTCTCAAGATTCTAGGTTTAAAAAAATCTAGTTGATTAATATTGGACAGTTATCTGATATGCATTGGATAAAATAAAGAAAAAAATATTCAGTGTATTAAACAGTAATATACAAATAATATCTTGAAAGATAAACACATCAGAAGTATATTACAAGAAACGTTACTTTTTTAATTTTAGAAAGGTTCAATCATTCAAATTGATCTACATGATCTAGGAATGTCATTTCTAAAACATTCACCAAAACTCCATATTTCATCTAGGTAGTTCAAATATAACTGATTCCACTGGTTTCTTTATGAAGTCACAGAAAAAACAGGCCTGTTAGAAGCTTTTGAACAAGGGGGTGGGGAAGGGTCCATTTTCAACGAAATATGTTGTTCTTAGTTTTTCAGCATGCCTGTTTTGACCAGATAAAATTGGTCTAATGGCAAACATCGCACCCCCCCCCCCCTGCCTACGACCTGAAGACAGTGTTGTCATACAATGTAAGAATTGGGGAGTCATCCATCATTTTCTGTCGAATATATAGAGTTTATCTGGAGTGCAGAAAGCGATCTCTCCTGATCGATACTGCTGGAGATAGTACCACCATCTCTCAGGCTTCTCAATCTTGTAATCAATGACGAGGTTCTTGACATGCTTCAGCTCGTTAGTGTACTCTTCAATGCTGACAAAACCAACATCGTGCTTCACGGTGGCTATCAGGATTGTATTCCCTTGAGACACCGCAGGATATAGATCATCACCTAATTTTGTTAATTTGTATATTACAACACCTTGTTTGTCAATCAATCGTATTGTCTCAGCAGATGTGATGATCAGGTAATCATTATAACTAGTAATCTGCTCAGGTTCATAACCATCACATGGTATCTCCCGGATCGCCTTCCCACCTGCTGGTGAGAATACCTGGATCTTGTCAGCTCTCCTGTAGCTAACATAGATCTGATCATCACCGTCTACAGTGAGATTAGAAAATCCACCTTCATCGTCACTCAGAGTCTCAAACATTACATTCAACTTTGTGTAGTCTATTGTGTACAGTGTGAGGTTGTTTGAGCCATCAAGTATAACACACTGATCGTCAGAGAGGAACCCTACTCCACGAATCACCGCATGTTTGAGAACTGTCTGCTGGTGCTGACCATCAGCAGAGAAGATCTCCACGCCACCTTTCCAAGATCCCACTGCCATCCTACCGTCTGGCGTACCAACCATGGCACTCATGCTATTCTTAGTAGGCAAAGCGATGTTCTTTGTTGCAACTGCACTTACGATCTTACCAAGACCTAGCTCGTATATTCCAACGTTTCTCTTAAAATTGACACTTTTTCCTTTCTTGCTCAATTGCCTCGGCTGCTTGTAGTCAGGATCTTCTTGTTTGAAAGCCTCTTGTAAGTCTTGACATACAGTGTCATGTGCAGCCAAAGCATCCATATCTGACGGTATCTTTGTCGGATTGGTTACCATGTCAGCTATGGTGGTCAAGTGAGTGATGTGCTCCTGAGCCGATTTCTTCATTTCGTCCAGTTCTTTCTCTACTCTTTCAGTCCTACCCTTGACTTCACCAATGAGGAGTTCTTTCTTCTCTGTCAATTGCTGAACTGATTCTTCATATGCTTTGTTGATATCATCTGTACACTGTTTCTGAACATTGCTCACACGCTCCTTCTGTTCATCAATGAAATCAACGTATTTCTGAAAGCAAGAGCGTTTCTTGTCTGCCTTGGATTTTAGGTCCTTGATACTCTTCACATGGTTGCATTCATAAACAGCTGCCTCGATGACCCAATGTCCTTCATTTGTATGCTCCATGACAACACACCTGAAGCAGGCAAATCTCCTGCAATTGGAACAGAAGCACTCCTCATCCTCTTTAGGGTGTTTTCTGCATTTACGCCATCTGCGCACTGACACCGTCCCTGATACGATCTCACTCATGGCTAAGACCTCATGACTGATGAAGTCTGGCCACTGAGAGTGTTTGTTGTGGCAAGTGCTACAGAAATACTTGCCACAGTCTTGACAGTAGACAACAGCTCGGGGCTTGTCCTCTGATTTACAATTTGTACAAAACTGATATTGATTCTTCATGTCCTCTATGAGAGACTTCAAAGCTAGATTTGCGGGTAATTTGCTGACATCTTGGTTTGGGACCTTGGTTTCAGCTCTGCAGACAGGGCATCGAAGCATCTGGTCTTTACCATGGCATTCCAAGAGGTTGTCCAGACAGGCCTTGCAGTAGGTGTGAGAACAAGACAGGATCTTGGGATCGGTGAAGGTATTCAGACATACAGGACACTCCAGACTCTGAGCAATGACATTCTTTAATGCTTCAGCCATGGTTCGAATTCTACAGGAATACGAGATTAAAAAAAGGAAAAAACAATGCTTAGTGTAGCTATGATTCATCTGATCGTATCAAAGAGGATTTTTGTCAAGCCTGCATAGTAAAAGCGAGACATAGACGCCGCTTTTCTGGTGACGGCGGCGCCAACATCCAAAACTTAACCAAAGGTTAAGTTTTTGAAACATTAATATAATTTAGAAAGTTTAAGTGCTTTTTCAATGAAACATAGACTAAAGGATTACCAAGAATCCCCAATCATGTGAGTAGACTTTCAGGTCACAAAATCAAGGTCAAAGGTCGTTTCAGGTCAACAAACTTAGACTATGTTGTGGCATCATCATCAAAAACTTAACCTCAGAGTAGTTTTCTGTGATGAATGTCAAGCCATTGTATTGACATAAAAATATAATGAAAGTAATGATGAATATAATGGTAATTGTTTAAATTATTATAATTTTATCCTAATATGTGTTTATTATCTCACAAGTTTAGTATTCACAATCAAGCAACCTATCCATTAGAATAGACCACAACACCTCTACATGTATCGCAACTAGTAGAAATTTGTGAAAATCTGACATAAACAAGTCATAACACATTCCACCACTTGAAGCCCATGGTTAAAGGTAAACCGTGGAAAACAAAACATACATTTTAAACATAAGTCTCATAAATGTAGTTAACCATTCATATTTCAGCATAACGTAACATTATTTCTTAATTAATCTAAAACCAAGTATTAGAAATTTGTGACCTTTGAACGAAAACAAATATGGACCGTGATCTACCTTCAGATATGATGCAGATAAACAGACCTTATTTTTAACATGGATTTCAGGCTTTGAACAACTCTAAAACTTAGTAGGCTAAATTTCTTATTAATTATTTAACCTCTGAAGTACCAAAAGCTGTACTATATACATGTACTAATGCACACTGGAATATACTATTTAAAAAAAAAAATAAAAAATAAAAAAAATCATCATTTTTGTAGAGAGGAAATTACCGGTATATAGATTGCTCTGCTTTGGCAGAATCACTAGCTGAAATGTAAGCTATGTTAAAGGAATAGTTGAGTTCTGTTGCAGATTTTGTTGTTGTGAGATAATGAAAAACTGAGTGTCAAATTTGAAAGAACATACAATTTAACTGACAATTTGATTAAAAATCGGTTCAGAGACGGCTGAAATATCCATAAATATAACTATTTCTAATATTTGTGTATCACAATAATTTGAAAAAGCCGTTGAAAAATCAAAACAGCGCCTTTTACTTTGTATTTCAGCCAATGCCGATGTTGAATTTTTTGTTGGCTTTTTTGTGTTGGTTATATTAAGCCCAACCAGCCGGCCCATGTATTGTTATTATTAATTAATTAATTAACGGTCACCGTATTGTTTTGAAAATGGAGCTGAATTGGTATGATCCTATTTGCTAAATTGCACACATTTTGGGGTCTAAAATTACCTTCATAGCAATTTTAGGTCCTCAAAAGGCACTAGAAATGTCATAGATAAGAATAAGAGCAATAACCATGCACTTTGAAGGCAATTGCGGTCTGAAAACAGAACTCAACTATCCCTTTAAGAGTCACATACTAACCTGAAATATGTACCCTGTGCATTCATATCTACATCACAAATAAGAATTGTAATTTATGACAAATTTGAAATTTAAATCACTGCAACATACCAAAAGCATTATTTTCCACAGGGCACACAAACAAGTTATACTTGGTTTAATTCTTGGCCTAAGCTCAATCACTCTTCATGTATCATTTCAAAGACATTTCTAGACCCAGTCTTAACTATTTCAGTCTATAAGGAAAACGATGATTTTATAAAGCAGATACAAACAAAACTTTTGGGAGTCAGCCTAATAGATCTAAATACAACCATATTGAATGAAAATATAGAAATATGTCACTGTATTTCTTTTGGAAATGACATGGACATTTCATTTCACTCACCTCTTTTTCCGTCACTACTTATCGGTCTAGGTGCTATATGAAATCAGTAAACATGTATACTCTTTGCCTTTACAATGTACCCGGTAATGGTACACTCTTCATAAGTGGCACTATATACATGTATGTATTCAGTCTCTCTGTCTATTTCTAGTGACTGGAAATTCCCAGCAACCTTTGACCAACAACCAGATTAAGATCGCCCAATGAAACCTAGATCTTGTTTTGTCGAGTGTCTGTCGAGCAAATATATTCCTGTGTCAAACTTGAATTCTATTTCTGTCCCCCCCCCCCCCCCCCCCCCCCATTACAAAACATTCTAAATTTAGAGTCAAATTACTGTTGCTAAAGTCTTGTGGAACGGTCCTCCTTCAAGATTACAATTGGAATGTTGGAAATGGCGCTAAACATGCTAATCATATCCGGAAAGGAGAAAAGTAAAGAAGATATTAAATATTAGACATTTTCATTTATTGCACTAACCATCATCTGGTTGAGAGAGCTTAAACGTTGTTCGATTTATTACAGGTTCGGGTTGTTAGTGGACAATGTTGCCTTAATTTCATAGGGCTAAATGACAGGGGACTGAGGGGGCTGCAGCCCCCCCCCCTCATTACCTATTCGGGCATGGGCAACCGCCACCTGATTCTGGCAGTTGATTAATATTCAAACAGTCTAGTATTCTGTTTATTTGTTCTTATATAAAATATCAAAAAACAACCCAACCCAATTCAATTCAATTCAATTCAATTCAATTCAGTTTATTCAATTCCAATAAAATATACAAAACAGAATACAATCATGACAGAATAAGAGTATAAATCGATCCAAAGTACTAACTAAGGTAAAATGATAAAACAATTAAGCGATACATCAGATAAGAATACAAGATAGAGCATTATTGGAATTGGGTGGCCATACAAAACAATGAGGATTTGTCGAGACGACCACCCTTAATGAAGGTAAAATAAGTTTCATTGAACATTCAATATAACATAGAAAATTTAAAAGATAACAAAGTACTGTAAAGGAATAAACCGATAAGAATACAAGATAGAGCATTATTGGAATTGGGTGGCCATACAAAACCATGAGGATTTGTCGAGACGACCACCCTTAATGAAGGTAAAATAAGTTTCATTGAACATTCAATATAACATAGAAAATTTAAAAGATAACAAAGTACTGTAAAGGAATAAACCGATAAGAATACAAGATAGAGCATTATTGGAATTGGGTGGCCATACAAAACCATGAGGATTTGTCGAGACGACCACCCTTAATGAAGGTAAAATAAGTTTCATTGAACATTCAATATAATATAGAAAATTTAAAAGATAACAAAGTACTGTAAAGGAATAAACCGATAAGAATATATGACATATTACCGCACAAACCCATCACAGGACAACACAAGGCAGTAAAATCATCAATTCAAAATTTCACAAATTTGTGATTAAGTAAGATTTGAGTTTTCTTTTAAAGATATTCATGGAGTTAGGTGACTTTATTTCTAGTGGCAGATTATTCCAGATAACAGGAGCATGATGTCTAAAAGAGAATAGTGCGTAATTTTTATTGACAGTCCATAGATGATATTTTGTTCTGCTTCTTGTATTATGGTCATGTACAGCTGCATTAAAAGTGAGCATTGATGATAATGATTTATGGAGCATATTCTGTTTCGGGTAGCCTTGTTTTGGGTACGTCCTATAGAATGATACACTATAAATATCCGAACAGCAGAGATTAATAGACGACAAAAGAGAAAATAAACTTAGAGTAAGGAAGTTTGAAACGTACTGCAATAATTACATGATACCCCCATACAAATTTCAGTACGCTTACACGCGAGCTCGTCAGCGTGCTCGCCAACGAGTTCGTTGACGAGCAAGCAGACGAACTCGCCAGCGAGCTCGTTTCGTTCCAAATATGCAAATTAGCTACGAACTCGTTGGCGTGCTCGTTGGCGAGCTCGTTGGCGTGCTCGAAATATACACGCTCGTCACTGGCCGATAAGCTCGTTGGCGAGTTCGTCGGCGAGTTCGTCAACGAGTTCGTCGACGAGCTCGTCGGCGAGTTCGTCGACATTCTCGTGGAAAAAATGGCTGCACGCTTTATAATGGCGTGCTTAACAGCAGGTTGGCATTGAGAACAAATTTGTGTCTACATATAGAGGTGAACTTGATGATCCTGTTGAGCTATTGGCAAGCATATATATATATTTATCTAACTTATCAGTCTTTCAATATCCTGGTAACATCTGCAGGCTGGCCATGCAAGGGCAATTCAGTTGGCTAGCTGGTGAAGAATACAGTGATACTCTTAGGGCAATTTAAAAGCTCATTACTTCTGGGATATCAATCAATTAAATCACTAATATATCAAAGAACAGAAAGAAAAGATTTAAAGAAAAGAAAGAAAAGATTTAAGTTACATAAAATGTCACTTAAAACAAGTAGCTCTTTATTAGAGTCAATACAAACCCTGTATAATGCATGTTACCTGTATGCAGGGTTCACAACTTCACACAACAATATGAATGAATAAATTATTTCCAAATTATATAATTACCATGTAAAATGAAATTAAATATGTGAGTAATTACACTGTATAATACTCTGCCTTTGAAGAAATATTATTATCCATTTTGGTAATTATTTATCCATCATTCTAATCACTCATAATATTACAAAGATCCAAACTAATAAAGCGGTATTCATACAATAACTATGTAGCATCCCCCCTTTTTGTCGGTGTATTCACCAACGCAGGGTACCAAGTAATGATACATGTACACTATAGGATCTCTAGAACAATCCCTTCTTTATATCCGCTAGCAAACTAGTTTTCAGTATTCAGACCAAATGCATTCTTGTGCTCTCATGTTGCCTAAAAGGTAGGGTTTGTCATTCAAGATACAGAAATGTTTACATGAATATAACCTTATCACATAGATATCTAATGTTACTTTATTGAAGTGAATATACTATGTGCTAGATAGATAAACAAAATTCCCAATATATGAAAAGATATCTCACTAGAAAGAGAATGAATACATTATCTCATTAATCATTACTCTACACTTCTCTTTCATAAATGTATAAGAGAGGTAGGCCTAACTGTTGGCCTAGTCTTATTATAAATACACAATAGAACATTTAGTTAAAAGGTGTGAGAAATTAGTTTTTCTCTTACCTAAAACAAAGGAGCTGCAATACCATTCAAAACCCATGTCTGCTCTCCACAACAGCAAGATAGAAAAAGACTTGACCAAATGGGCCTAAATCAATTCATTCTTATCAGGAATGCTACCAGTGGTAATTCCACAAGAGAGAGTACACAAGAAAGTGAGAGAGGGGAGAAGAGAGGAATAGGGATTTGTGTCTAAGCAGGGGGGATCCTATGTACATAAGGAGAGAGCAAGATAGAAACAGGGAGTTGACCTCGAATCAAGCACTGGGTGTGTGGTCTTATGTAATACCTGATAGTGACATTTCAGGGTGTTAAATATATGATACAGTCAGAATAAATGGCACCCCCTTCCCAATCTGGTTTTGCTGCAAATAAATGTTTCAAAGTTTCAAAAGAATTTAATTAAATTTACAAGAAATTTGACAGTTTACTTCAGCATGAAAAAGCTATTGTTTCAATTTCAACATAAATTTTCTGAACTTTCAATGTAATTGCATATGTGTATTTTTATGATACTGGAGAGATTTCACCATGGATATTTCAGATCCAAGTATAAAAATAAAAGAGTATATTCTATGGTGATAATTTTGTCCATGTCCTAATGCAGATATGTAGTGGAGATAACTTAAATAACGTTGTTTCAAAACCCTGGGTTTAAATTTTTATGTAAGGTGAAACCCATTTTTTGCCCTTTTTAGGACGTACACCAAAACGTGACATGAAAAAACCTAGTTCCTGGTAATGAGTATTCTCTAAATTTGTATGACTATCTGATGTTTAATTATTGTCTGGTAGTAATTAAGTGCTGAATCTATTTATGCTCATGTCATTAATAACCTTAGGTTGCGTTGCAAAGTTTTTTCATAATCACCATATTTCACATCTTGTAACAGTTGTTATGCATGGTGTCCACCATGCAACACGCGTTCCATTTGGTGCTTCTGCATGATGAATGCACATTATATAAACAACTTTGACAATTCCCAGTTTATTTCTTGGAAGAACTCCATGGATCAAATCAATTAAAAAAAGATGAAGCTTAAAATGTTATAGTTAAAAAAACAGCACATGTTTGAAATTCTAAAAATTCTTTGGTGTCCACCCATAACATGCGTTACCGTATATGAAAAATACAAAATACAATTTTGTTAAGAAAATTTCATTTATAATCGTTCTAATCTTTCACAAGAAAGGCTTTCTACATTGTGTATATAAAATTCATTGAATTGTTCAATTTTGAATCAAATAGATATTTTTAAAAAAATTATGAAACTTTGGTGTCCACCCTAGAGGGCTGGGTTTACCAGTTTAACCCTGAGTTCGCCACGAGCTCCCGAGTTTACCCCCGAGTTCGCCATGTGTGTATGTGTGTATGTGCGTGTGTCTGTGTGTGTGTGCGTGGGTGTGTATGTGTATGTGTGTTATCTTTTTTTCTGTTCCCATATTTACTCATTAGTTATCATTGTAAATATGTTTTTGTCATCGGTTATTCTAAATACTGTTATTTTGTTTTTGTTTATGTACTTTTTAAGGGGCCCCTTATCACAAGCTCTGCTTCTCCGGGGTCCCAAACCTATCATGTTTTTTATTTCTTTTGTGTCAATTGATTGTAAAATGTTGTGTTTGATTGGTTTGAATAAACTTGAACTTGAACTTGAACGAACTCCCCCTTTTACCCGAGCTCGCCACGAACTCCCCCTTTTACCCGAGCTCGCCACGAACTCCCCCTTTTACCCGAGCTCGCCACGAACTCCCCCTTTTACCCACGAGCTCGCCACGAGCTCCCCCTTTTACCCACGAGCTCGCCACGAGCTCCCCAGTTTACCCCCGAGCTCCCCAGTTTACGCCCGAGCTCGCCACGAGCTCCCCCTTTTACCCACGAACTCGCCACGAGCTCCCCCTTCTACCAACGAGCTCGTCACGAGCTCGCCACGAGCTCCCCCTTTTACCCACGAACTCGCCATGAGCTCCCCCTTCTACCAACGAGCTCGTCGCGAGCTCGCCACGAGCTCCCCCTTTTACCCACGAACTCGCCACGAGCTCCCCATTCTACCAACGAGCTCGTCACGAGCTCGCCACGAGCTCCCCCTTTTACCCAGGAGCTCGCCACGAGCTGCCCAGTTTACCCGCGAGTTCGCCACGAGCTCGTGACGAACTCGTTCAAGAGCTCGTGAAGATTTTGTAAGATCGATACTAGCGTCCTGGAAGCGTGTTACGAGCTTAAAGCCTAAAAAACGATCTTATTAAGCTTACCACGAGCATAATACGAGTTCGCGACGAACTTAAATTTGTATAGGGGTAGCTTGGGTATGACTGAGCTGTGTAAACAGTACTATATATAGTGCGTCCCAGAAAAAACGAAACCGAGAATTATCAATGTTTTATTATAACTTAATCACAGTTGTAATTAATAAATGACACATATTTGGAAAGCTTAGATCATCCTCTTTCATTTGATACCACTCATATAATGCATATTTCACGCATGAGTGATTAAAGTGAATTTGAAGAGAGGAAACCAAAAAGTCATTTGGCGGACGGTATCTGAATTTCAAAGAGAAAATCACATTTCTGGAAAGTTGAGTTTCTGCCCTTTTATATGACACCTCAGTCAGGAAAAATGAGCTAGGATGAACAAAGTTCTGTTTGGTAGTGCCTGCATTGCCATAATTTTATCAAACAAATTCGTTTTTACTGGCTGCCTGCCGTAGCAACAAACGGAATTAACAAAACATTAACTCCGCTTCGTTGACAATCAGTTGTAGACGAAAGATTTCATGCAAAAGATAAGAATGAATGCAATTCTAACGTTTTTAAGCCCCTTATAGATCGGCACACCTAAATGCGATCACCTAATTTGTTTTGTACATGTGTATGGAAAATGTCCAAACAATTTTGATGGTAGTGTATTTGTTGTACACACAGGAGCCCACATAAGAACATGTTAACAATTTAATATTTCGGCCACATACAATTTTGACAAAGAAAATGGCTAGGGGGGGGGGGGGGGGGGGGGGGGGGGGGGGGGGGGGGGGGCCGTTTAATGAAATCTTTAGTACATGGTGAACAAAGAGTAATGTAAAATCACAACTTTTCAGACTTTTCCAAAAACTTATAAAGAACATTTGCTCTAGATGGAAACACAGTCAAAAGGAAATATCTCCAAAAAGTTAATAAATAAATTGGGTATTTTAATTTCCAGCAAGTTCCATGCCACTTCTCCCATGTACTTTGCCAGACTGAAAGAAAACATGGAAAACAAAAAACAAGATATCACAGTCAAACATAATTCCTTATTTGCTTTTGCAATAATTTTACAACATATATTATACAATCAATATGTTTTCTTTTAAAACTCTTGAACTCTTTAGTACACAACTAGAGAAGTTGTAAGAAGTAGAAATTATTACGAAAAAGTGGCAAATCCTCTTATGATTCTGGGTTTTAAAAAATCTAGTTGATTAATTGGACAGCTATCTGATATGCATTGGATAAAATAAAGAAAAAATATTCAGTGTATTAAACAGTAATATACAAATAATATCTTGAAAGATAAACACATCAGAAGTATATTACAAGAAAAGTTACTTTTTCAAGTTTTAGAAAGGTTCAATCATTCAAATTGATCTACATGATCTAGGAATGTTATTTCTAAAACATTCACCAGAACTCCATTTCATCTAGTTCAAAATATAACTGATTCCACTGGATGTTATATTGTTAATTTATGAAGTCATAGAAACAACAGGCCCGTTAGAAGCTTTTGAAAAAGGGGGCGGGATGGGTTCATTTTCAACGAAATATTATGTTATTCTAAGTTGTTCAGAGTGCCTGTTTTGACCAGATAAAAGAGGTCTAGTCGCACACATCACCCCCTTCCCTTGTCTTCCTACAGT